GGCCTGGGGGGGTGCTGATGGGACTGAGGGGTGCATGATGGACCTTAGGGGTGCACAATGGACTTGAGGGGTGCACGATGGACCTTGGGGGGGGGGGCATGATGGACATGAGGGGTGTTTGGTGCTGATATACAGCAGATTCGCAGGATGGACGTTGAAGCGATGAGAACCGTTTTATAATGAGTTCACGATACATTATATCTCATGGTGCTTCACTGATTGGACAGCCGTGGGCGGTCACATGACATTAAACTGCCAGCATGCTGGGAAATTGAATCACGATCACATCAGGTGCTCAAATCCTGAATGAAAATGTCTTTGGTGATCTTAGAGTTGACTTTAGCATTTTGCATTGTTAAGCCGACCATACATGTTACAATCTGATTGTACAATCTTTATCTGAACCTCTTACTGTGCCTGACTACATACAAATGCAATGGGCGTTTTATTTTTGGTAAATCTCATGCTGGCCACACACACGTTACAATCCCATTGCATGACATCTTTGCAATCTCTTTCACATGAATGCACATCCACTTTACCAATCCATTCAATCTGATCGGCACTCCCATAGTTTGTAAATCTAAGAGGCCATAAACTATACAATCTGATTGTGCAATTGCCTTTAACTGCCTTGATTGGATACAAATTGAATGTATGATTATTTAGGTTGGTCCCTATATTACACAACGTCGGTAAATCTATTGTTGATTGAACAGAGATTGTACAGATTGTATAGTGTATGGCCAGCTGAAAGGAGATTGCATAGTTGTATTGTAATGTCTGCGATCATGGTCACAGCACGCAGTGTAATCTGACTGTACAATCTGTGTACAATCAACTATATATGTACCAAAACCATGTAATGTAAGGACCTACCTAATATATCCCATCGATTTATATCCTATCAGGTGCTTGCACTGCATAGATGCTGGTAGATCTAAAGGAGATTGTGCAATCAGATTTATAACGTGTGTGGAGCTTTTAAGGGGATTGCAAAGAGATTGTACAATCAGATAGTAACATCTATGACCAACTTTAAATACTATTCAATCTGTTGGGTCAAAACACATTGGGGGGCATTTATGAAAACTGGAGCCTACAGAATATGGAGCAGTTGGCAACCAATCAGCATCTCTCTACCGTTTGCTCAGGTAAGATCTGAAAATGAGACAGAGAAGCTTATTGGTTGCTGTGCAAATCTGCTCCAGTTTTGATAAATTCCCCCCCCCCCCACCGACCCCTTGTTAACTATTGCTTTCTTTGCAACACATTGAATTCTTTAGGAGTTGAATGCCGGGCTGAGATCACCTTCTGCTACTGTCCATAGAAAAGTCTCCCGGTTAGTTTAGTGTTGTCTGTTGTTCCAAATACATTTCTATCATAAACCTGAGAATGTCACCTTCCTAGATACACAATGTATCTGATATAGAAAAGGCAAAGTGTGGTAACCCATAGCAGCCATCAACATTCGCTAGCTGGAATCTGATTGGTCGCCCCTAGTGCAGATTTTATTTTTTTACATTGCATTGTGATGAATATAAATACATCGAACAATCGATCAGCCGTCACACTCAGCTCCGCATCCCGGAGGGAGAGAACCGGCTGTACAATCCCTGCGTATTATGATGATTATTATTATAACTACAGGTATTATATAGCGCCGACAATTTTACTTAGCGCTTTACTTACAGCACATTCACACCAGTCCCTGCCCTCCAGCAGCTTACAATCTAAGGTGCATGGAGATGAATTCCACTGCACTGGAGGAAGAAAATATGTGCCTAGTGCGAGTGCAGCCCCGAGTCATATATAGATCTGGGACTGAACTCCAGTTTATTATGACCAGTCGGGGTGAGATATTATTATGACCAGTCGGGGGGAGATATTATGACCAGTCGGGGTGAGATATTATTATGACCAGTCTGGGTGAGATATTATTATGACCAGTCGGGGTGAGATATTACTATGGCCAGTCGGGGTGAGATATTACTATGGCCAGTCGGGGGGAGATATTACTATGGCCAGTCGGGGTGAGATATTATTATGGCCAGTCGGGGTGAGAATCCATGTCTGCAGCATTAGAATCAAAGAATGTTCTATAATCATAGAATGTATCAATGTATGACCGTAGAGCACATGTCTAGATATGAATAAAAAATATGAAAATGAACTCGAAGTTTTCTGTGTCATTACTGTAATTAACATCAACTTTTATTTCTATAGAACCATCACATTCCACCCGTGTATATAACCGCACTTCATTGTAAGAGCACAGGGAGACTTTTATTATACCGTATAATAACGGAGATAGATAGATAGATAGATAGTTAGATAGATAGATAGATAGATAGATAGATAGATAGATAGATATAAAATAGATGGATGGATAGATAGATAGATAGATAGATAGATAGATAGATAGATAGATGATAATAATAGATCTGAGAGATAGATAGATAGATAGATAGATAGATAGATAGATGATAATAATAGATCTGACAGATAGATAGATAGATAGATAGATAGATAGATAGATAGATAGATAGATAGATAGATAGATCTGAGATAGATAGATAGATCTGAGATAGATAGATCTGAGATAGAGATATAGATAGATAGATAGATAGATAGATAGATAGATAGATAGATAGATAGATCTGAGATAGATAGATAGATCTGAGATAGATAGATCTGAGATAGAGATATAGATAGATAGATAGATAGATAGATAGATAGATAGAAAATAGATGGATGGATAGATAGATAGAAAATAGATGGATGGGTAGATACATAGATGGATGGATGGATAGATAGCAAGAGCGTAGGGGGGCGTATGGCCGCGTACTCCCATAGAGAAGGCCGGGGGCTGCATACTAATCATACGCAGCACCTGTCCTTCCCGGGAGCTGCCCGATACGGTCGTGCACGCAGCACAGAGCTGTACGTCCCGGCCTTTTCTCGCGTGAATGAGGCCTTAAGCACATATGCGGTCGATAAGGCCGGTCCCAGCATGTGAATACGTGTTACAGTGTGTATACATGGGGTATTGGCCATTCTTTTATTATAGATGATGAGAATATCACAATAACAGGTCACAACATGAGGAACAAAAGCCACATTATAGTGCTGGCAGTCTACTAGAGAACAGGTGAGAACGTGGGGACACTCTGTATTGTGTCCAGGAAATGTACTTGGCTGTTCTTTCTATATTTGTCTGGTAAATACTTATATGTAATGTGCGCATTCCTAGTGTGCAGGTTGAAGAAAGTCCCTCCGCCTTGTGCAGAGATTTTTTAGACTTTTTAAAACTGCAAACTGGAATAATGTTAAGAAGCCCATATCAAGCAATCAGACCAAAAGAGGAGACTATTGGTAATCTAAAGGGGGACGTTTGTTAGAAAGGTGACAGGGAATGCAGGCATGCTGCAAGAGATGGTCAGAGATTGCACGCATGTTGAAAGAGATGGTCAGAGACTGCAGACATGCTACAAGAGATGGTCAGAGATTGCACGCATGCTGCAAGAGATGGTCAGAGATTGCACGCATGCTGCAAGAGATGGTCAGAGATTGCACGCATGCTGCAAGAGATGGTCAGAGACTGCAGACATACTACAGGAGATGGACAAAGACTGCACGCATGCAGCAGGAGATGGTCAAAGATTGCAGGCATGCTGCAAGACTGCAGACATGCAGCAGGAGATAGTCAGAGACTGCAGGCATATTGCAAGAGATGGCCAAAGACTGCAGATATAGTATAAGTGATAGTCAGAGACTGCAGATATATTATAAGTGATAGTCAGAGACTGCAGATATATTATAAGTGATAGACAGAGACTGCAGATATATTATAAGTGAGAGTCAGAGACTGCAAGCATACTAGAAGAGATGATCAGAGACTGCAGACATGCTACAAGAGATGGTTAGAGACTTGCTTTAAGAGGTGGTCAGAGACTGCAGATATACTATAAGAGATGGTGGGAGACTGCAGACATGCTACAAGTGATGATCAGAGATTTCAGTATGCTGCAAGAGATGGTTAGAGACTGCAAATATTCTAGAAGAGACTTCAGGCATACTAGAAGAGATGGTCAGAGACTCCAGACGTGTTACAAGAGATGGGCAGAGAATGCAGACATGCTTTAAGAGATAGTCTGAGATCTCAGATATACTATAGGAGATGGTCAGAGACTACATGCATATTACAAGAGATGGACATTGTCTGCAGATATACTATAAGAGATGGTCAGAGACTGCTCAAGAGACGGCTCAAGTGTTCTGTAGTCCCAACACACTTCCTGTACTAGGGTGACAACACTTCTTCTCCTTCAGCACAGTGAGTGAGCGTTGTAACTCCAGGACAGGAAGTGTTTTATTGGCAGGATCACTAGGTGAAAGTAACAGGAAAAACCAAATGCAGCCACCACATCTAAGGAAAAATGAAATAGTCCATCATTTTATAGAGATCTGCACATCAGACCGAAAAGAGTGATAACTGAAGAGGAAAGAAGGGGCGGATGTGGGATGTGGTTCCACCAGTGACATATCCAGGGTATATCACATATGACACATGCCCTGGGTCCCACTTGAAGGGGGGCCTCTCTGTGGGTCAGGGAAAGTTTGACGACCCATGGAAACAGCTGACTTTTTTTCTCTCCCCACTCCTCCTCCATACTACCACTACTACCACATGCTAGTCTTGCCTAGGGCGCAAAATAGCCTAGGGCACCAACCCGAGGGCCCCAGTTTACTAAGAGCCGTGTAGGGAGATGTGTATGGCCCTTACACATCTCCCCGCCCAGCTCTTAGCAACCTGGGATGCTCTGGCCGGCGACCTGCCCAGCTCCTGGAAACCAGTG